CTATGAACCGTGGCCTTCCACCGTCGTTGGCTGCGACGGACCCGAGTCTCAACTATCATGTTAAGGGAGTTGACATCGCTACGGCGGCGTACGTCGCAGAGCTCGGTTATCTCGCCAGTCCCGTTTCGACACATATCCAGAGCGCGGAAATGCACAATCAAGCTGTCAAGTCAGTGCATTCATATTTCCTAATCAAGCGAATTGAAACTCACGACTGCTTCGTTCCTCTAGCTCGATGGCTTTGGTATCAGCACGAGCGACGATTACGTCTATCGATGTTCTCTCGATATTGACAGCAACGTACCTATACAATCTATGTCAAGGTACGCCCATCCTTCCCCCTTCTCACAACAGAGAACTTAACCCCCACTCCACAGCCCTCGACCTCCGCGCCCTCCGCCTCGAATTCGACGAACGATTCAAATCCCTCGTCTCTGAACAACTCCGCTCCCTCTTCCCCTCCCTCGACGCCTTAGCTCACCAAACTCTCCTAACTCAACTCCTCAAAACCATGTTCCTCCGCATGGAGAAAACGACCATCATGGACGTCATCGATCACATGTCCACCGTCGCATCTTCCAGTGTACCCGTTCTGAACGAGTTCTTCGTTCGTTCTGGGATTGCGGATACGGAGTTGGGTGTGGGGTTATTGACATCGATATCTAAGTTCCAGGGGAATGTGGCCTCAAGGGCTACGGATATTATGAATGAGCTTAGGCTTGCGTATTTATCCGGTTCTCGGGGTCAGGCACCTGCGCTCGAATACCTAGGGAGGACGAGGGCAATGTACGAGTTTGTGAGGGTGGAGTTGGGAGTGAAGATGCACGGATTAGATAACGTTACTGATTTCGAGGACGACGGCGAAGAAAATACTGTCGGACACAGTATCACGAGAGTTTATGAGGCGATCCGAGATGGGAGGATCCATGATATTGTGGTTGGAATCTTTGAGGGGATTGTTGGGTCGGAGTAGCGCATGACTTGCACCGAGCCGCGCCCTGTATCACTAGATGTGTATGTATACCCACCGTTCCGTTTATTTGATGGGAAATAGATCATCCTGTATTGCTTTTTCCAGTCGCACACCTCGCCACGTTCGACCCTGCAAATCTTGAGGAATTACCGACATCCGTATGCAGGCTCGAAAGTTGTAGTGGAGACTGGGCATACTTTATCAAGGGTCAGTACATTCTTTTCAATTGAATTGATGCCCTCCAACCCGATCCAATGACCCAAACTCCCGACGCTAGTAACAAAATCCCGTGGAGCTTCTGGCAGCTCAACGTCGAGTATCTACCATTTGGCTGCTTATTATTATACCGCAGCACGACTATAAAACGAGGTTGTGTTGAAACGACTCCTCACTTCCGTTCCATATTTCAGCTTAGAAACTCAGCGCAGATCATACAGTGGCGACGTGAGTACCCAGACCGTCTCGAGTTTTCTTCGTTCTCACTGTTTTTCTTCTTTCAGACAGTGTCATGATCAAGTCTTCTTTCGCCAGCTTGGCAATTTTCGCTACCCTGGTGGCTTCCTCTCACTTCGAACAACGCTCGCTCGCAGACTCCGTGAGTTTATTGAAGCCCTTGAAAATAGAACTCATCCTGACTCAGCTGGACTCTCTACTTCCAGGAAACCCTCCGTTCCAAAATCACACTTGACGCTCTCTTAGACCACGCGCAGAAACTCCAAGACTTTGCCTACGCATCCCCCGGTCGAAACCGCCTCTTTGGGAGCTCTGGACACAATGACACTATCGGGTACATCTATGAAACCCTCACAAGTCTTGGTGACTACTACACCGTCACCCTCCAACCCTTTTCAGCCTTCTCCTACGTACCCGGCAACCACGCTCTTACCGTCGATGGCGAGCTCGTCGAAAGCACAGCTTTCAACTATTCCCCTAATGGCAACGCTACAGCGGAGTTGGTACCCGTGGCGAACTCTGGATGCAAAGAAGAAGATTACCCTCCCGAACTTTTTGGGAAAATCGGACTGGTGATCCGTGGGGGAGGATGTGATTTTGGAGAGAAATCGGTGCTGGCTGGGGCTGCGGGAGCTTTGGGCGTTATCATTTACAACAACGTTCCGGGTGGTGGAGTGGGGAGTCTTCCTCCTCCTCCACATCCGAAGGGAGATGTAGGTCGTTCTTTGATGTATAGCAACGTCGGGGTCCTGACTAATATCAACTGTAATCTAGTACATCCCGACCCTCGCTGTGATGAAGGATACCGGTCTCATCCTGCTTAAATCCATCGAGGAAGGTGCTACAATCATGGCCAACGTTATCGTGGATGGATCCGTAACGGAGTTAGCATTCACGAACAATGTAATCGCCGAGACGAAGTGTGGTAATCACGATGATGTTTTGTTCCTCGGGGCTCATTCCGACAGTGTCGCCGTCGGTCCTGGGATTAACGATGATGGAAGCGGAAGGTATAGCAACTCTTCTTCCCAGTTATTGGTATGGTTATATATTGACATTCTCCTCTTTTGGAAACAGTGTTGCACTACTCGAAATAGCCAAGCAACTGACTGGATCCGAAGTGACAAACGCGATCCGGTTTGCGTGGTGGTCTGCCGAGGAAGCAGGTCTCCTTGGGTCGGTGCATTGGGTTACTACCGCCTCTCAGGAAGAACTCGATAAAGTCCGTCTCTATCTCAACTTTGACATGATCGCGTCACCCAACTACGCCCTCAACGTATACGACGGTGGTTAGTCACATTCCTTACTGCCTGTATCCACCTAACAATCTATACATAGATGGTTCTCAATTCAACATGTCCGGCCCTCCAGGATCTGCCGAGGCGGAACAGCTCTTCCACGACTACTTCAAATCCATCGGGCTTAACTCGACATCTTCAGAGTTAAACGGTAGATCGGACTATGGACCCTTCCTCAAAGCCGGCATTGCCTGTGGTGGGCTCGACACCGGTGCTGAAGGACACAAAACCGTAGCTGAAGCAGAGATGTTCGGCGGAGAAGCTGGTGTCGCTTACGACGTTAATTATCATCAGCCCGGGGATACCATGGACAACCTGGCGCACGATGCGCTCGAAGCTAATGCCAAAGCAATCGCGCATGCGGTTGCCGTGTATAGTGCTAGCTTTGATGATATGCCTGCTAGAAATACCACGCGAACGGTGGTTGAGAGGTCGGGAGTTATTAGCAAAAGGGAAGAGGATTGGGGCATCTACATGGGGGATCTACTCATCGGGTGATCGATATTAGACGGTACTATCGTATTTAATTGAGTGTGATTTCAGTCTTAATTTCTGAACGGGCACGCTTCGATCATACCTTAGTTCGCCACTGTTGTTCGGACATCTCTCGGACACCTGATCCGAAAACTCAATGAGTAAGCAATCGAAGCTCTCACGCTAGCCCAAGTCAATCACTTTCCATCACCATCGCACCTGCAGACTGCCAGAAACGACGGTCCCTGGACTTCCACTATTCATGTCGAACTCTATGCAGCTTGACCAGAAACTGCCACGACGCGCAAATTCATCTTCATGGTCAACCTTGCCTAGCATCCAGCCATCCGATGACAAGCCAGGTCTAGATTGTAGCACAGCAAAGGAATGCGAGCATTACTTGGGCTAGTTCAGTGTTTGGGTTGGACATCTACAAGTACGCATAACCGTCTGATTTTTGTTTGTGGAGGCATACTGATAGCCCCATGCCATCCTTTCATCAAAAGGCTGCAGCACGTCCTCCATCAAATATTCACTCATCACGAGCATCTGTAGCTGAGGCTGACGTTGCGATTTTGAGCAAGAGGCTGGCTTAATCTAGAAGACCCGCTCGAGCAGAGATCAGGTCGCGAAGCTCTCCGGATGGTTTGCTCCCTGAACTAACTTGTACCGCAGAATCTTCCATGAGATAGAAAATCACGGAGAAGACATAGACATAGAAAAGAGTTCAGTTGGAAAGCAATTGATTGTTTGTGAAGATAAGAAGGACGTGCGATGTATTTTTGGAGGAAGTAAAGGAACATTCGAGAAGTTCTACCATCGTACGTCTAATCCCACGTCGCTTCACACGGTTTGTCCCGCCGCAGTGGTGTATTCAGAAAGGAGACGACTAAGACACATGGATGAGGGAAGGTGGAGGACGCTGCGCATAGTACACTCCAACATTCGGTCTTTCTACCTCAAGGTAAGTTCGTAATACGTACCTTACGAAACAAAAACTCGTTTAGATGAAACGAGCCAGTCGAGCAAAAGTAATCCAGTCTCTTGAGGGGCGACCTTGTTGTCACGAAAGAATATTCGCCGACTGGCGACGGTGCCTATCTTCTTTAAATCAGTCGAACTCACAGCGTCATGGGTACTCCGACAACCTCGAACACATATCTCTTCCGATTCGTTCGCTCCTGGAGTATGTCATGCTTTGCGTGAACTCCGAGACCAAGTACAATGTTTATCTTCATCGATAAGTCACAAGAGGGCCTTCAGAGATTAGCCTCAGAGTCGGACGTGATAAGAAAAGTAGGACGAAAAAGATGACTCGTTGAATGTTTTGCTTTCGCTTCTCCGTTGAGTCGTCTCTATCCAGCCATCCAGATCTCATTACACCATTTCACTCGTCTAAGTGTAATTCTACATCACTTGGCAGCATGGAGCGTTGGTCCCTGATTCACAGAAATACTGAAGATTCAAAGTACAGGAGATTCTTAACTCGGAGGATTTGGAGAAGGTTGAGCAGGCGAAATTATATAACGAGGAAGGCCCTCCGGCCACTATACTAGCCCTTTCGAGTTTGCAGGGGAGTAGGTCGAAGGAGGGGTGCGTGTCTTGATATTCTTCCACTATACCAATCAAACTAAACGAGGCTTGCTCTTCAGGATAGTATAAATACCCGAAACATTTTAGGACCAGTACCGCATATAGAAAATTAGGTGTTAGTGTATAGGGAGTAGATACTTGTGCACGCGTGTGTGGCCGTCCATTCTAAGATGAGAGAGCGTCGGAGGAGGTTTGCAAAAACATGATCATTCCGATGCGGGGAATCGAACCCCGGGCTGCTGTGACAAGCCATCAAAGAGTTGAATGAAAGACAGCAATGTTAGCCACTACACCACATCGGATTGCAAGGCGGACATGTTTGAGGCAATATACCGTGTAAAGCACCAAAGCGTTTTATACCCTTGTACTCATGTTTCGTACAGAGATCACTACTATCTCTACTGAGCCGCGCGTCCTCTTAGAGATATCGGACAATCTAGTCATCATGGCCAAATCGATGACGACCAAAGAATAAGAGGACCAAAGAATAAGAGGACCAGAAGGGTAAGGGCCCAAATTCTCTTCGAGTTGCGAAAAGGGAGAATCTCGGTCAGCGATGTTGCATATTTAAATCGTAACCAGTGAACGTGTTCGTGTCGAAGAGGCTATCATTATGCCGCCTCTTGATCTTGACAGTCCCTGCCACCCACAATTGAATGGCACTGATATGCTGTTCATATATTACTATTCTTCTGGTACATTCTATTCTCTACATGGAGTTGAAGAGCAAGGGTCAAATGTATGTTTTACTTACACCCACCACAGTGCCGGCAGTTTGTCGTAGTACAACTCTGGCCTTTGGTTTGACTTTGCTGTTCCGCAGCAAGAGTTCTTCGGCGCATCAATCTGGAAAAGACAGTACCTGCTTGCTTCCGATAATCAACCCATGAATCTATCAGAATCAGTTGTACAGAGTCATCCTAAGTAGTTCGTGCAGTTTTGACAATCTCTGCGGAAGGCGCCTACATTATACGATTCCGTGGTACCAATTCGTCCCCGGGCCGGGGCAAGTAAGCGGATATTATCCAATTATTTCGCTGCTTCCGCTCCTTCCGTCGCTCCTCACGCCGAAGCATCCAGTCACCACTCGGAGAGGGTTTGTATAGGGGAGACCATTTATATATATATGGAAGCCATGAGCCTCAACTCGATTGTTTCAAAATGCCATCCCTCATCCAACTCCTGTCTATTCCTCTAGCCGTTTTTACGAGCGCCATCCTTGCGTTGTTCATTCGGTCGAGAAAACGGACTCTTCGATTCCTTCGAGGACCGCCGTCATTTTCCTTTCGTCTCGGTTAGTCTGCCATACATTCTATCTTCAATCACTCATGGAGATTATAGGATACGACCGAGTCATCACACGCGTTCGGAAGGTCGGGGAGCTCGAAAACGCCTGGTTCGAGCAGTATGGATCTGTATTCCGTTTACCTGGGTCTTTTGGGGTGAGTTCAAGCATGTCCATATCGCTCTATAAGCTGCTAGGGCTGACCGAATCGTGTCTCGACTGATACGGATAGGAGGACTCCCTACATGTCTCCGACCCCCGTGCCCTCCAGCATATTTGTCACAAATCCGCCTATCGATATAAGAAACCTATGGACATCCAGCAACTGATCGGGAAGTTATTTGGACCGGGGCTTGTAACCGTCAATGGTACGTCCGCATCTGCAACATACGATCGATATCCTCGCCAATACCTGCGTTTGCAGGCGATGTCCATCAACGACAGCGGAAGATCATGAACCCCATATTTTCTGCCGCTGAAATTCGCCCTTTCGCCCCAGTGTTCGAGGCCTGTACACAAAGGGTAAGCCATATCTCATTCTGGTACGATAGCTACGTTTATTGAGATTCAATATCGAAGCTTATAACGAAGTGGAAGTCTGAGATTGATGGCGGGGCTACAATCATCGACTGCTTCAAAGACTTTCACGGTATGACGCTGGATGCACTCGGAGAATGTATGTGTGTCAATACCGCTTGGAATCGGAGACCTCCTACTCACAATTGTCACTCCAGCTATGTTCGGTTACAACTTCGATGCAATGGGCAAGACGAGAGCGGGGGGTCTTCGTGATATTCTTCGGGATGTATTGTGAGCCACACCTGTCTTCAAACCATTCACAATTACCGATGATCGATCTCTTAACCCCCCCCAGCCTTGACTCCCGCAACCCGTCAGAGCTCAAGATGTTCCGTAATGCCACCTATCGATTCCTCCCCAAGTTTATTATAGACGTCATCTCCTTGTGGAAGACAAAGGAAGACAAACGCTTTGCGAACTGGCTGAGAGCTAGTCAGAAAGTCACGGGAGGCTTGATCACGCAAAAGGTGGAAAGTGGAGGTGGACAGGAGAAGGATAAGGACATCCTGAGCGTTATAGGTCGGTCTACGTCTCCATATCGACCCACGGTCACTCAATGAAACCCTACAGCCCGTTCACTAACTTCGGAAGATCCAAGCAAGCGCTTGCTCCCGGTGGAAGCGCTATCTCAGATGGCGTGAGTAACTATTGGATATTGAAAGTCTCTTACGCCCGAGTTGATATGCTTTGAACGTCTAGGACAATCACCTTTGCTGGACATGAAACGACAGCATCCACGTATGTCCCTTCTACACGCGACGTGTTTCTTCGGACTGATATCATATCGATAAAGGCTCAATTGGCTTCTCTGCGAGCTTTCCTACCACCCTGAGTGGCAAGAAAGGTTGATTCAAGAGATACAGGATGTTCGCAGCCAGAATGGTACCAACGGCCCGCTCACGGTAAAGGATCTGGAGAGTATGCCTATTCTCAACGCAGTCATCAAGGTAAGCAGAGCCTCTCACATAATCACTGCATTATCGTAAACATTTTGAGCACCCAGGAAACACTGAGATTCCGTCCTATCGTACCGGAGCTCGCTCGAGAAGCCGAAACCGACGATGTCATACCCTTGGAGTCCCCCATCACGGATGTCTTGGGATCGGTCCTGAAGGAGATTCCGGTTCCTCAAGGGCAAAGAGTCGTTCTTAACATCTTCAAGTACAACAGGTGAGTATGTGGCTGAGCTTACCGGGCTCTGACTAACGTGAGCATCGTCTTTAGAATCAAATCCGTCTGGGGCGAAGATGCAGACGTGTGGAATCCGCAACGATTCCTCGACACTACCCGGCCGACTACTTTGGGAGTGTTCGCAAACCTGATGACCTTCAGTATATTATGTTCCCTTTCTTGGTTATGTTCAACTCTAACCTCTCTTCTCCCGAACAGGCGGTGGTATTCGTGCTTGCATCGGCTGGCGATTTGCGTGAGTTCTCTTTGGAATTTAGTATTCACCATTTTAAGCCTCCCGTTTTCAGTGTTCTGGAGCTCCAGGTAGCTGCCGCTGCTCTTATCGAATCTTTCCAGTTCTCGGCGGTGGAGGGAATCGAGATAGAGCAAGTCAGAGCCGGCACAAATGGCCCCATGGTCAAAGGGAAGTGGGGAGCTGGACCTCAACTACCGCTCAAGGTCGTCTTGAGAGATGCCTGAAATTCCTGCACACATACATGATATAACTAATCTCCTACCACATTCTTTTGACTATTTCAGCCTATTGGACCCTAAGACGTAGGTACGCACTGGCATTTCTCATTAGAGTAATACCCTTTATTAGTATCTATCGGGGACGTTCATATGTCAATATACAACAAGCAAACTCGATTATGATCAGAGCATTTTCGACGATCTCGAGGACAATAAAACTGCCCGGATAGCTTACGAGCAAATCGCTTAACATCCGAGGCGAGTTCACTGTGTTGTACCGTGGAGGAGGAGGAGTGTATTACACGGCATGGTCCACGTACTGAACGCCGGGTCCGGGGCTTATCCTAGCATACAAGCAGCTAACTACACCTTCGACCCCGGGACGGTTCCCCCACTGTCTGGACGAGCTCACAGAACGCATTCGAAGCGAGCAGGCTCTTCTTGTGCACCTCGTGGTCCTTGGCGTTCAATTGAAAGACATTGTTCGGCGAGCGAACAAAGTAATAATTATCAGATTCCCAGAGTTTCCATAGAAGGAATCCAGTGAATGACTAGCACGAAGCCAGTCATCGGGACGAAATGAGTGTGAGGGATGACTGGTGAGCGCTTGAATTATCAGCAAAATGCCTGCGTCAAGCAGCGCTATGTGTACGACCATTCAAACCTGTTTATCCTTGTTGAAGTTTCTTTCTTCATTCTCGGGATGCTTGCCTCGCCCCTTGATGTAGAACGTCACCGCGGCCCAGTGCCCACAGGTCATTGACACTGACCTCCCTCCACTCTATTCTCCGATAGAATCCTCGTCAACATGTACTCAAGATAGGTACCTCCTGGCGGCTCTCATCCGTTCTGAACGACGGGGAAACTGGGTTTCCTGAGATCCAGAGCACCAAGGTTGAGTTCTTCGCCACGGCAACTCTTAATACCTCATGAAAGCTAGGGTGTGAACCCTATCGTCGACAAATCGCTATCACCTCTAGCGTACGAGCCACAACTATACGCAGTGTCCTCGTAGCGTATGCTTGTCCATACGACTATGAGATATCCTCCATAAGGTGGCCGCATCCTTTGACTTTGTCAAAGCAGTCTGTTTCCGGCCCGAGTCAGGTAAGCACATAACGAACTGGTACCGTGGCTCTCGCGCGAAGCTACATCCATTCGACATTCCGAATAGGGGTTTTTTGTATAACAACAGGGGAGAGCACACATATATAAGGACGGATACACACAGGCTACGATTGCATTGTCAAAGATGACCTTCTTCATCCAGCTCCTTTCGGTCTCTGTAGCCATTTTTGCTAGCGCCGTCCTCGCGTTGATAATCCGATCGAAGAAACGGTCGCTCAGCTTTCTTCAAGGACCACCATCACCTTCCTTCCTGCTCGGTCAGTATAAAGTTCTCCTAACCTACCCGAATCTGTCGCACTCAAGGAGACTGCAGGACACGAGTGGGCTCTGACTCGTGTCAGGAGGGTCGGAGACCTTGAATCTGATTGGTTCGAACGGTATGGACCTGTGTTCCGCTCGGCTGGGTGTTTCGGGGTAAGTGCAGGGCATACCATCCTCTCATTTTCTGTATTAACTCTCAACCGTCTCGATCGGTACTAATAGGAAGACATTCTGGAAGTATCTGATCCTCGCGCTCTCCAGCATATCTGCCACAAGTCCGCCTATCGGTACAAGAAACCAATGGACTTCGAGCAACTATTCGGAAAATTGTTTGGACGAGGGCTCGTAACTGTTAATGGTGAGTTTATGCTCAGACCACCGGGTTGCGAACCCCAACGATATTTC